TTTCTCCCCTTAAACAGAGGTTCCATGTTTATCTTTTAAAGTGAAAAATGCTAAGTTGTCCGTGAAGCCTCCTTGCTCTTCTTGGATGATTCACTCTTCTCATGGAGGCACTGAAATGTGTCAGGTGTGAGTATGTAGATCCATGGTGTTTTTGTTCACCCTGCTTTGGGTTCTTAGGTGCCTGCATGGTAAGCCGCTTCAGTCGTGTCCAACTCTCTGTGACCCCATGGACTGTAGCCCGCCAAGCTGCTCTGTCTGTGGGATTCTCCAGGCAAGGATACTGGTGGGAGTTGCCATTTCCTTCTCCAGGGGATCTCCCCAACCCAGGGATTGAAACCAGGTCTCCCGCACTGCGGGCAGATTGTTTACTGTCTGAGGGTTTATGATGCTTTTAAAGTGCTGCAGCTGCAGGGAAACCAGAAGGCGGGCAAAGTCTCAGTTTAGAGCAGTGAGCAGGGCAGCGGTGTTTCCTGTGACGGAGATGATACCTCCTATCGCAGCTCGAAACCAGGGGCATCCACCTCCCAGCCATTACATCGACAGGTTGCTGAATTGGTAGTAACTAAACTGTTGCAGTGGAGAAGGCAATGGCACCCCACTCCAGTACTCTTGCCTGGAAAATCCCATGGATGGAGGAGCCTGGTAGGCTGTGGTCCATGGGGTTGCTAAGAGTCGGACACGACTGAGCGACATCACTTTCACTTTTCACTTTCATGCATTGGAGAAGGAAATGGCAACCCACTCCAGTATTCTTGCCTGGAGAATCCCATGGACGGAGGAGCCTGGTAGGCTGCAGTCCATGGGGGACATGACTGAGCCACTTCATTTTCACTTTTTACTTTCATGGATTGGAGAAGGAAATGGCAACCCACTTCAGTGTTCTTGCCTGGAGAATCCCAGGGATGGGGGAGCCTGGTGGGCTGCCATCTATGGGGTCACACAGAGTTGGACACGACTGAAGAGACTTAGCAGCAGCAGCAAATTGTTGCAGTTTTGGTGTCCACTCCTTGTTGAGCACCCATTTTTCTTTTTTCTTGAGTACGTATGTATTTGACTTTGGCATCAGGAATCTAGGATCTTGGCTAATTAATCTCCATTCATCTCCAGATAATCTTACAGTTCAGTTCAGTCACTCAGTCGTGTCCGACTCTTTGTGACCCCTGGACTGTAGCATGCCAGGCCTTCCTGTCCATCACCAACTCCCGGAGTTTACTCAAACTCATGTCCATTGAGTCAGTGATGCCATCCAACCATCTCATCCTCTGTCGCCCCCTTCTCCTCCCGCCTTCAATCTTTCCATCAAGACAGCATCAAGGTCTTTTCCAATGAGTCAGTTCTTCGCATCAGGTGGCCGAAGCATTGGAGTTTCAGCTTCAGCATCAGTCCTTCCAGTGAATATTCAGGACTGATTTCCTTTAGGGTTCCTTGGAAGATAATCTTTGCAACTGCCCTATTCCAGGAGTCCTGGGACTTTGAGGGTATTATGCTGTCCTCTGACTCAGTTTTTGTGTATTTCTCCATGGGATTTCATCTGTGGGGTGAGGATCGCAGCCCCCCACCCCGGGCTGTGGGTGATGTGGATTGCAATTAGCATCACCTTGTAGTGAGGGAGATGGAAACGTGCAGAAGGGAATTTTATAAAAGGAAAGGAACTCATCTGTTGTGGATCGACCCTTGTGGAGCTGGAGGTGTGATTCTGTCATTCTTCAGGGACGAGTTGCCTTGAGGTAGAATGTTGCACTCAGGTGATGCCTCTAAGCCATCGAGGTTTTCTGAGGTTAAGAGAGAGGATTCTCAGAGAGCTTTTCCCCACCTGTGTTTTGACGGAATGATGTTTGTGTGGAAATGAATGGCCTGAAAGTTCTGCCGAAAGAGAAAAGACATCACATGGGAACGGTCACTGTCACTTCCCTTAGGGCTTGAAGCCCAATTGTTTAAGGATGAAAAGAGCTACATTTTCTGTGATCGTTCTGCAATGTAGATCCCCAGTCTGGAAACAGGTGTGAGGGTAGCATGAATGGTTTGTTGATAGAATAAGTCATAAAATAATACATTATCTGCATGTCCATACTTTGTCTCTAGCCTGCAGTAAATGATGACATGGATTTTTGAATAAAAACATTGAAAATAGAATAGGGTAATTCCAGATAGGATAATATATAAGGTTTTTCTTGTTTTTCTAAAGAAAAAAAAAATAAAATCACTTTATGCCCGAGACACACTGATCAGGTGATGGAAGAGGTGGGCTTCCGTTGTGTGCATCTTGGTAGAGTCTCTGCGGGATCCTTCTCCTTGCAGGGCGTGCTGGGCACCTCTCAGCATGATGAACTTGAATGAGTGTTGGCAGGGCTTTGGGGGCGAGTCTGCAGGTGCCCCCCGAAGACCCGCCAGGCCCCTCTCCCTTTCCTTTCTGAGCCCACTTTATACACAACTTTACCTTTGAGGTCAGAGTGTCAGAGCCGCGTGAGCAAGCGGCTTCAATTCAAATGAAGTGTGTAACCTTTCTTACTAGCTCAGAATTTTGTAGTAGCTTGGGCATAATATTATTGACCATAAAGGGCAAGGGTCTTTTCTTTAAAAAGTGTAGGGAGAAAATGATGTGATAGAATGCACGGACGAATCTGTGTGTGTGTGTGTGTGTGTGTGTGTGTGTGTGTGTTCGCGCGCTTGGGAACGTGCATGCATACTTAGCACAAGGAAATCAGAATGGGTGAGTGGCTACACGAGCTCAGGGGTGGGTACAAAACCTTACTATCCTGCTTTTTCTGCTGCTGGTTTGGTTGGGAATTACTTAGAAAAAAAGCATCGCAGTGGTTAATTTCTCACGTTGTCCGGATTAGCGGCATAGGCTACGTGAGGGGGCTTCATCATCAGTGGGTGACCTGGAGGCGCAGTGAAGACCTGCGTTTAGGTGCAGCCCATTACTTTTTGGGGAAATCTGGGCACCCACGGCCGTTGTCCCTGCGGGTCTTCATAGCGCCCAGGGGACAGGGCTCATAGTGAAGGGGAGGGAGGAGCCAGGAGTGCTGGTGAAGCTGAGGTTTTTTGGGCGGCCGTCCTGAGCAGCTGAGCTGTTGGAGGAAGCGGTCTTAACGCTGCCATGCTTGGAAGGACCGGGGAGGCCAGCACCCTTAGGAGCCCCTTCTCAAGCCCGTCAGTTGGCCATCCAGGAATGTCCCCCTCAGCTTTCCGCCCCACCCCAGCTCGACCAGAGAGCCAGGGACGAGGTGAGTGGGCCCAGCACAGGAGCCCGTGGCTCCTGGGGGCGCCTGCCCTGGTGACACTTGCCGTGTCTTGCTGGGAACTGGGGACCCCGTCTAGTCAGTAAGGCACCTTTCATTGATAACGGGACGGGTGGGTCCAAACATGTGCTGTCGTCCTCTCACGTCCCAGAAGGAGGCGGTGGGAAGCTGAGAACTCTGTGGGCAGATGGTTCTGTTTCTCGGAGACTCGCGTCTCGTGTCCCGTGAGAAATCTGCCGGGATGTGCTCTGCAGTTCACAGGTTTCCTCGACTGTTATAAACAGTATCCGTAGTGTGGGTTTCCCAGGTGGTGCCAGAGGTAAAGAACCCCCCTGCCAGCGCAGGGGACGGAAGAGATGGGGGTTCGATCCCTGGGCTAGGAAGATCCGCTGGAAAAGGAAATGGCACCCCCCTCCCAGTATTCTTGCCTGGAGAATCCCATGGACAGAGGGCAAGTAGCATTAATTTTATATTATTTTTATATGCTGTCTCTTTTGACTTAGGACGAGAAGCGTGATTGGGTTTCAGATAATTTGGCAAAGACCCTTGGTCATCCTTGCACTCGCCTTTTGCATTCAAACGTCAGGCTCAGGGTGCAGAAATGCTCACCTCAGCGAACGTCATTTAAAAAAAATTTGTTGTTAAAGGCATAACTTTTTCTAGGTAGTATTTTTGATTTTTGTCTTCCTATTGAATTGAGATACCAGTGAGCCATTGGTAGGGAAGGTCAGGCTCTAGAAAGTGGTTTGGGAGCTAATATTACATGAAAAATTAGCCCTTTCTTCAGAGTGTGTTTGTGCTCAGCGGCTCCAGTTGTGTCGACTCTTAGCGACCCCATGGATGTAGCCTGCCAGGCTCCTCTGTGCAAAAAATTCTCTAGGCAAGAGTACTGGAGTGGGTAGCCATTTCCTCCTCCAGGGGATCTTCCCAACCCAGGGACTAAACCCAAGTCTCCTGCTTTGCAGGCGGATCCTTTATCCACTGAGCCACCAGGGAAGCCCTTTCCCTTGAACAGAAAAGGCAGGCAAACAAGAAAGTGTGTTCTGCCTCCTTCCCTAACAAAAGCCGGGCGTCTTAGGACCAGGAGGGACAGGAGGTTGGTGCTCAAGCCCAGCCTCCTTGCAGGTGTCCCGTCTGTGCCTGCTGCTGGCATGGAGGCCGGNTTTGCCTCTGCATCCAAGTGCCCTGTGGTTTGATTGGAGATAAGCCTGTTTTGCAAACGCTGCATTTTAATTGCATGCTGCCACCAGGATGCGCTGAAAGCCGAGCTGTCCGTGGGCATGATGCACGCTGGCTCTTTGCTCGCCGGCACTGGCCGGCCTGGGCACCGGGCGGTGCTGAGTGGCACCTTTCCTTGGCCTGTGAGCAGAGAGCTGGCCTGCACTGGCAGCGTGTGTGTGGCGGGTACACTGCAAGCCCCCCCCGGCGGGCCCACGTGCCCCCTCTGATACAGAGGGTGTATCTGCATCCAGAGGGTCTGATGCACAGTGACAGGGCCACGCAGACGCCCTCTGCACGCGCCCTGCTAATTAATGCTGTCCCTGGTGGGGTGCTGCGTGGTGAAGCCTGAATTAAAAAGGCCACGGGCCCCAGGCAACGTTTTCAGTCTCTTAGCATAAGTGTTATGGTAAATTGCTATTTCCCGGCCACAGGCTGGGCTGGCTTCTTCTTTGCCTGCGAGTGCTTGGTCTGTGCGGGGCGCGCGTCCCGGGCGATGGGAAGCTCGGGTCCGCCTGCTGACGCGTGTCCTTGTCCCCGCAGTGCTGTTCGAGTCTAACGGCCTCCGAGGTGCTGACGCCCGTGCCACCTCTGCAGACGCCCCCAAACAAGTAGGTCTCCCCGCTCCTGGGCAGTGGGTTTTCACGTGGTAGCTGGGAATGGGTGTCACTGTGGTCCTCAGGGTTCCACGCGGTGTTTTCCCAGGTGTGCAAGTAACTCTTCGCTGCTCTGAATCAGAAGCCAGCCCTGCCGAGCGGTCCGGGGGTGACTGATAGTCCCAGAAGCTCCTGGGGCTGCGAATGACACAGCTGGTGGTCTGTGCAGCTGCGTTGGGTCCTGCTGGGGGTGATGAAAAACTCTAAAAGTCAGACTTTTCCACTTGGGACATTTTCCCTGGAAGTTATGACTTGAGACCAAGTTATGCTTCCCTCCTGTTTTCAGAATCGTATTTTTAAAAATTTGTATCAGAGTGTCATTGGTTCACACTGAAGTGTTGGTTTCTACTGCACTGCAAAGTGAATCACGCACGTATATCCCCTCTTTCTGGATTTCCTTCACATAGGGCACCACAGAGCCCCGAGGTATATGGTGGCTTCTGGGCAGTGTAGCAGTTTCTCATTAGCTCCCTGTTGTATACACAGTATCAACAGTGCATACCTGTTGGTCCCAGTCTCCCGACTCATCCCACCACCCTTGGTATCACATGTCCGTCTTCTACACCTTTGACGCTGTTTCTGCTTTGCGCAGAAGTTCATCTGTGCGGGTCTCTAGATTCCAGACACAGGCGCTGCTCTCCGCCTCCCTTCCCTCTGTGTGCTCGGCTCAGGTCCATCCTCTCCGCCTCTGCGGTGTCTTTAGTTCAGAACCGCATTTCTGAATCGCTCCGTAAGAAGCCTGCTGCCGAGTCTGGTCTCTCGTGGCCTCACCCTTGTCCTGATTTTATTCTTTGTGACGCCTGGCACCGATGCGGCCAGGATCATAATACACGTGTGTGCATGTGCACAGGCCTTGAGTTACGTAGACGTGTGGCCTCCATGTGGGAACCATTCCGTCCGCAGAGCGTGGCGGCCTCCTGGACGCGGGTGGCTGGGGTTCGGCGCGCAGCACTGAGGTCGGGAGGCCTGTGCCGTCCTCGGAGGTCTGTCCTGTGACCCTGGACCAGGACCCGGTGGTCCCTGGCTCCCCTCCATTGTGTCCCTTTGCGGGACGCCAGCCCACTCTCTGTCCTCCCACAAGCGTCTGCTTCGTAGCCGTCATGCTTTCTCATCGGTTGCCCGAGAAGGTTCTGTAGCCACAACCTCCCCTTTGTAAATGAAGAAGGTTTTCCTTGCCGCCAAGGTACACATCCAGGATCCCGTCCAGGCGGTCAGGTCCACCCGGACACCCTGCTGTTCCCGTGTGGGATTCCTGGTCGTTGACAGCGGCGAGGGTGGCAGAGGTACAGAGGAACCCAGCCTGGTTTTCAGGAAGAGAAGAGTGTACAGTAACCCTCCCCAGAGCCTGCGACCAGACCTCATCAGCATCTTTGGTTTCGTTTTTATCCAGTTTTCAGAATCCCTGTTTGTTGTTTAAAGCTTTCTCTTCATACATCATGGACAGAATGCCTTGCCCTTTGTTGTAGTTTTTTAGTAAGTGCCTTATCTCTTAATAAAACCCATAGTTTTAGAATGAAAAGCTGTTATTTCAGGATGCTGTCACAATTTATGAAAAAAAAATAACATCTGAATGCTGAATTGAAAGATCTCTGGACATACGTGACCTCAGCTCAAACTGGGCCACGCTCTCCTTTTTAACAGACGTGAAACCCCCTTTCGACAGGAGTCACTATGATGTTTGCAGGTTGTATTAGCAGCAAGGCCGTGCTGTAATTGGAGAATTGCACATGGACAGAGTGAGCACAGTCAGTTCAGAGCGTCCCTGCAGACACAGGTGACCTGTTCCATCCCCCTAAGGTGTGGCTTTTCTAGGCGAGCACTGGCCGGGTCTGGGTCTCTGAACAGCGCTGCGAGTTTCTTCCGGGTCTGGGTCTCTGAACAGCGCTGCCAGGTTCTTCAGGGACACACAGCAGCTTATTAGCTGCATGCGAATTCTCGCTGAGTCTCTGCAAGAGGCTTCTGTCGTAGGAGAAATAGATCAACAAGGCAAATCACTGAGACTGTTTTAAATTCGTTCTGTGTTCATTATGGGTTTCCTGGGTGGCTCAGGGGTCAAGAACTGGCCTGCAAATGCAGCAAACTTGGGTTCGATCCTGGGTCAGGAAGATCCCCTAGAGTTGAGGAAATGGCAGCCCACTCCAGTATTCTTGCCTGGGGAGCCTGGCAGGTCACAGCGACGGACAGGACTGAGTACACACACTCATGATGGCATATTCAAGGTTATGGCCTCTGAAAAGTGCTTTTTGTCCTTCCTTACATTCACAGTAGCTTTTGTTGGTTAATCGTTGGATGTTCTGGTTCTTGAAGGAAATTCCATTTTCTTTAGAGTACTTTGGAATTTTAGAATTCTCATAGAGACGTGTCTGCCGGAGTAACTGCAAAACGTAGCAATAGTAGATATCGGTTTACATCTCAGTGTTCTTCCTTAGGTGAAGTGCTCATTGTTTACAAAAATCACAGTTGCTATCTTAGATTTAAGATACAATATAGATTCATAGAGTGATTCTGTAGTTATTTATGTCTAGAAGGGGACTCATCATACTGGTCAGTCATGTTCTTTTTCATGCTGGGCTTGCTTTGCCAACATTAACTAATTAATATTTAAATCATATTCTTTCCCTGTGAGCTTTAAAAGCTGTGGATCAAGGGATTTTTTAAAAAAAAAAATGATACAACATTGTGTATTCATGTAGAAGTTATTTGATGTAGCATTTAAAATGGATGTACATCACAGATTCTGAATTATGTAACTGAAACAGTATTTGGGAATGCAGTTTTATGATAATCATTTGTCCACTCATTAACAGTATTAACTGAGCCCCTCCTGTGTGCCAGGCTCTCTCTTCCTGGTGGAGAATAATCAGAATGTTAGAGGTGAAGGTAAACATCTTTCCTGCTTTTACAGTTTTTAAGGTCCAGCGGATGGTTTAGAGATGCCACTCTGATGGGGTGAGGGTCCCGGAACCCAGGCTTGGGGCGTTGAGAAGAGCGTGTGGGGCAGGCAGGGACACAGCAGGGTGGGTGCCCCCTGCAGAGACACCCCCCCCCCCCCAGAAGCGGAGGAGATGTCTCATTGAGGACTCATTTGAGGGGAGAAATGGGCAGGTGGGCAGGAGCTCAGCACAGGAGCCTAGGGAGACACACAAAGGCATGGGTCCCAGGGCTGAGATGCAGGAAATCTGGCCCGAGTGCACTTGGGGACCCTGAGTGGGGCTGTTGTCATCAGTGCTGGGTCCATGGTGAGTTGGGCTGGTCTGGGTCGGGGACAGACTGCAGAGACTCTGGACAGCGGACTGAGCCCGGCTCTGGAGGTTCTTCGAGCAGTCCCAGAGAGACCCAGGAGAGGCTTGGGGGAACAGATGGGTGTGGGGGGTGTTCAGGGAGTGGAGGAACTCGGGGATTGACTGTGGCGGGGAGCAGGGAAGGGATGGACTGGACCCGGGTTCTGGCTCTATGCAGCTCCTGAGAGGAGCCTGTCCCAGCTCCTGGAACATGGCCGGAGGAGCCAGACAAAATCTGTTCCCATCGACCTTCAAGTCAAGTTGGTGATGCCTCTTGGCAGGTGAATATGTGGGTTTGAAGCAGAGGAGAACAAGAACAATCTGGGTCGAGGACATATGAATATTTCATAGCTCGCAACATTGAAGAGCAGCCAAGATCAGCCAGTTCAACTCCAAGCGACTCAGTAATATGAGTTGCCGAGTAGGAGGCTGTAACCCAGCTCTCCCCTCGGGCGGATGAACAACTCCTGGGTGTCCTCATCAGTAACGTGAGGGCGGCAGCAGCACTTCTGTGCTCACTGGGAAAGTTTTCGAGGACGGTGCGCCGAGCCCGGCGGAGGCTGCACGCCCAGCATGTTAGTGGCTGTCCGTTTTCTAGGGGTGAGCCGTCGTCCTGGACAGCTGGGGCCACGAGGGGACTGTGCGTATGTGGTGCACACGTGTGTGGACATGTGGACACGCGTGGCGATGCCGCGTGGCCGCGCCCCCGGGGACAGCTGTGCTCAGGGGCCCAGCGTCTCGGCCGCTTCCTCTCTTGCCGCCTTCCTGCCTCGTCAGGACCTGGCGGTGTGCTCGGAAGCGCTCTGGTTTTGGCTGTGCTTCTTGCACCTTAAAGGGAGAATAGGAAAATTCTCAGTTTGGGGAAAGGGTCGTCGGCATAATGTGGTTCCTGGTTTCCTGGTGGGCCCCACCCTGCTGGGCGGCCGCTGGGTCTGTACCACATACAGCAGCTGCACTTACTTTGCTGAGATAATATTTGAATTTTCTATGTGGGATGCTCCTAATGTCATAATATCCAGATGCGGGAATAGATTTATTCAGTTAATTTAGTTAATTGAGGAGGAATGAAAGAGTTTCCTCTTTTTTTTTTTTTGAACCAGGTCATACATGCAGGTTAGTTTTTCTTCTGTTCCATTATGGTTTATTACAGGATGTTGAAGATAGTTAGCTCCCTGTGCTATAGGACCTTGTTGTTTATGCACCCCACACATAATACATAATAGTTTGCCCCTGCTAATCCTGAATTCCAAATCCATCTCTCTCCCATCGCCCTGCCCGAAAGAGCTTCCTTTTGATGTGTCTTTGGCTGTGGTCTCTTTCTGCACGCGTGCTGACCAAGCCCTGTCTGTGTTACACACAAGCTCGCACTTAAAACTCTGAGATCCCAGATGGGTGTCTTCATCAGCATGTTCCTTTCATGGGTGGGGTGGAGAGGGTTGCTGACTCATTAGGAGTTAAAGGTCTGGGTTAGGAGACAGTAGGGTGTCGAACAGTTGGTTCCCGGGCATAGTGTCGATTCTGTAGTCATCCCGTTCCTTGGCATTTCCTGTAAACGGGCTTGAGCCCCGGCCCCGAGGAGCCCGCTTCACTAGTGAGCTTCTGCACCCCGGGGGAGGGAAGGCACACACTGCTTTTGCTTGTATTGGGAAGAGGATTCTGATCATAGGAGAAGCTAATATTCCAAGCAGAATTCTATATAAGAGGAGGGATCCATGCATATCATCATTTTCAAAATGCTCTGCCATATATTCACTGTCAAAATTAATCATTAGAAAGAATACTTTTGAACATAATACGCTAAAATATTGGTATCATTGTGCTATGCATGTTAGAGAAAAAAGTAGGGTTCTTTTTTTTAATGTCGTGGAGAAATTGTGTTTTTCCACTATATTGTTTGTGAAATGTTAGAAATTAAGTAATGTCTAAAACCAAGAAAAGTTAACCCACTCTCCTTCCATTCCCCTGGTTTCAGGATTTCAGAGACTAGACTGTCTTTTCTGAAATATGAAATCCGGTGTTTTGATTTGTTTGGATTCCTTGCCAGAATTTATAGTCTATGATCAATAGTTTATTTCTTACTATTCTAAATGCTATTTTGAAATAGTTAAGCTGGAGAAATAATTCCATTAATCAAAATAAAGAAAAATGATAAAATAAATGGCCACATAATTTGTCTCATTTTTAGCTGCAGAGGTTCAGATGCAAACAATGGAGAAATGGTGTGGCTGGTAGACTTGATTCTCTGTGTCTGTTTCCAGTGGCACAGAAGTAAAGAACCCGCCTGCCAGTGCAGGGGACACGAGACATGGGGAAGATCCCCTGGAGCAGAAAATGGCAACCCAGTCCAGAATTCTGCCTGAAATCCCATGGACAGAGGATCCTGATGGGTTATGTCCCTGGGGTCACACAGAGGCGGACATGACTGAGCACACACCCTTATGTGTTTCCAGTGGGCATTTCAGGTGGCTCAGTGGGTAAAGAGCCTGCTTGCAATGCGGGAGATGCAGGAGCCTTGGATTCGATCCCCAGGTCAGGGAGATCCTGGGAGAAGGGCGTGGCAACTCACTCCAGTGTTCTTGCCTGGAGAGTCCCATGGACAGAGGAGCCTGGCGGGCTACAGTCCATGGCATCACACAGAGTCAGACACGACTGAAGCGACCGAGCAGGCACACACGTCTGTTTTCAGTATCATTTTTAGATTCGCTGTATCACGGATCACATTTCCAAATTCAGAGGATTTGTCTCAGCAATTTCTTACTCATGTAAATTCAACTCATGTAAGCTCTTGAAACACGGCATCCATTTTTCCATTAACATAGCATAATGTCCAAAGTCGTGAATGTAACTAGTGATTTATCCGAAGTGACCGGAGCCGCAGCCTACTGATGGCTTCTTGGGAAAGGTCCTTCTCAGCAAGACACTCTGTGTACATACACATCCCTTCATTTAGGAAGAGCAGGCATGTCTGCCTCGAGATTTGTGGACTGAATTGAACACCCTGGTTATTTGGGTTGGATTCTGCAGTCCTCCCAAAATAAGTAGTTTAAAAACTTTCTGAGCCTGCAGTGTGAAACTTCAGTCCTTTAAGGACACACGGCCATCCTCCTGTTTCTCCTCTAACGGTCCTTTTTCCTTCTCCCAGTACAAGTTTGTGAATTCTGGTCCACAGGATGGGAAATCCAGGGGCTGCCTGGGGAGAAGTCTGTGTTGTTTACAAACTGTAGACACACACACACACACTACACACGCATGTTCATACACATTCTTCACCCATTTATGGAATCCCCGGCAAGTCTGTTTGCTACGTACAGTTACTTCCTAGAAACACTCAAAGCCAATCACCTAACAGCCAGCAATAACTCCCATCTTTCTGTCGTGAACACAAAGGCCATTTCCTTCCTTGAATGAACGCCATCGGAGATGGATCTCTATCTGTGTGATGTCGCTGTGCAAAAATACAAGGTATCCTTCTCAGCTTACTGCAGGTCTCCCTCATAGCTCAGCTGGTAAAGAATCCACCTGCAATGTAGGAGACCCCGGTTCCATTCCTGGGTTGGGAAGATCCACTGGAGAAGGGATAGGCTACCCACTCCAGTATTCTTGGGCTTCCCTTGTGGCTCAGCTGGTAAAGAGTCCACCTTCATTGCGGGAGACCTGGGCTTGATCCCTGGGTTGGGAAGATCCCCTGGAGAAGGGAAAGGCTACCCATTCCAGTATTCTGGCCTGGAGAGTTCCATGGACTATACCCATGGGCTTGCAAAGAGTGGAACATGACTGAACGACTTCCACTTTGAGCTTGCTGCAGGAAATTCACCATCTACTTAAGGAAGTTTTATCACCTCTGTCATTCTGTTACTGCTTCCTACATTTCAAATAAGCCCCTGTTCATACCATTGTGCCCAGCCCCCAGCCCCGCATAAAATGTTGTTGGTTTCTTTCTGACTTCCACTAGATGTCGACTGGACATCTGAATGCAGAGCTTTCCATAGGGGTTTTCTGAAACTGTTAACTAAAGAGAAGCATTTAATTCATTATGTCAACCGGACCTTCCTCCTGAACTTATTGCTAGGCTTGCTGCAGGCATAGCCAGAAAGCAGTTAGAATTTCACATGAGTGCTGCATTTTATGTGTGCATGCTAATTTCAAGCTGTTCGTTTTACTTCATGGAGACTTTAGGTGAAGGTTAATGCAGTTAAGTGAGATTAATCTTGCCCTGTTGTGTTGTGTTCAGATTGTAAGCTCCACTGTTCAGACAGTAATGCTTCAGACATCGTCTGAGAGCCTGTCTGAAACCTGGGGCTCACCTTCACACTCACTTCCATCTTACAGGTCCCATGACTTTAGGACACCCCTTCCATTTTTCCAACACAGCCGTTACTTACGGCAATGAGTGGAATTCTCTCAGGTCCTGACAGATCTGTGGGAGTGTTGGACTGTTTGTTTATATGGCCCTCAAATTTAACCCTGTTCTGGAATTGTCATTCACATGTAAACCTACTCTACTACAGAGCATTGCTTTAAAAGAATTGTTGTTTACTTGCTAAGTCATATCTGACTCTGCGACCCCGTGGACTGCAGCACTCCCTACTTCCCTGTCCTTCACTATCTCCCACCAGAGTTTACTCAATAAAGAATTACTATTTACTACAATCCATACTTGATTCAGACTTCCTGTTTTCCCTTCATGTCCTTGGCCCTTGTCCAGGGTCCCCTCCAGGACACAACATCACATCTAACTGTCATGACTCCCTCGGTCCCTCTGACCATGATTTTCTCAGATCTTCCTTGTTTTTTCTTTTTTTTTAAAATATATTTTGGCTACATCATATGGCTTGTGGGATCTTTGTTCCCTAACCAGGGATCAAACCCATGCCCCTGCACTGGAAGCGCCGAGTCTTAACCACTGGACTGCCAGGGAAGGCCCCCATAGCATTGCTTTTTTGAATCCTCCTCTGGTCCCACCTTGCCATCTTTTCAACCTTTCTCCAGAGCTGGTTCAGACCCTAGGGTTTGCTGTTGTCGTGTGCGGACCGGAGCCGCCCAGTACCTCTCTGTAGATCCCGGGAGCTGCCCAGGCGCCTTGGAAGGCATCACAAGCTCCTCCTCCTTGTGCGTCACGTTCAGTTCAGTTCAGTCGCTCAGTCGTGTCCGACTCTGCAACCCCATGAACCACAGCACACCAGGCCTCCCTGTCCATCACCAACTCCTGGAGTCCACCCAAACCCATGTCCATTGTGTCGGTGATGCCATCCAGCCATCTCATCCTCTGTCGTCCCCTTCTCCTGCCCTCAATCTTTCCCAGCATCAGGGTCTTTTCAAATGAGTCAGGTGTCATCTGCATATCTGAGGTTATTGATATTTCTCCTGGTAATCTTGATTCCAGCTTGTGCTTCCTCCAGCCCAGCGTTTCTCATGATGTACTCTGCACATAAGTTAACTAAGTGTGCGTCATGAATTACAGCTAAAGCCACGCGTGGCTGCCGGCCGACTCGGCGGCTCTGTGACCGTCATTGTTTGTGCTTTGGGTGACTCTAAAAAAAAAAAAAGAAAGTAGTGAGACAAATGCGCTTCGAAACCGGAAGGCAGAAATGAGCTTTTCTCTTGTCTTTTTTCCTCCAGGGGAGAGACCATTCTAACGCAGATGCTGTCCACACAGTGCCTCTCAGAAAGGGAACCTAGAGACACACTTGGTCTGTCCGGTGCCGTGACCTCATCCGCAGCCCCCCTGCACGTCCCGACAGCCACCCTGGCTGCCCCGTGGGAGACCCCCCGGCCGGACACCGCCTCGGCTCCTGCAGCCACCCGCTGGAGCGAAAGCTGAAGGGGGGCTTCTTGTCACGTGTCTAAACATTGGCGAAGATGCTCTTCTTAGAATTACCTGTAGATACTCTACATGCATCCATGTGCTCACCAACTGTAGTCCGTGTTTTCTTACAGTAAACGAGGTGTTGGCAGGCACGGCAGGAATACAGAGCATCTGTATCCTTCAAGACAGGTTCTAGACACTGGAACGATGCTCGTGTGTGTTGGGTGGACTGGAGCAGCCACGCAGGATGTCGGAGGACCGCGGGGGTGACGTCGGGACCAACGGCAGGGCCAGGGGGTGGGGTGCGGACAGATGCCCCGGCCTCTCCGCGTCTCAGTGCGTATCTCAGATAGTAAATAAGAGGCAGGACGGCTGTTCGGGTGCTGTGGGAGCAGGCTTGAAGGGGCGGCGGGGGGCTGGGTGACGAGGTCCTCCGTTTTCAGGGGTCCCATCACCTGTCCCAGCTGTGTTCCGCTCCCATCTGTGCCCAGTGAACCCGACAGAGGACACACGGCTGTGGGAAGGCGTTGATTGTGTTTTGGGAAAGAGTGCTAGTTGAACACTAAGAAAAGCAGGCTTCTTTGTTTATTCTCAGGACCTTCTGGTAACAGGGCTACATTCTGCAAACTGCTTATAACGGAAGACTGCCCGTCTTAACAAATGATCTAGCCACTGAACCCCTCACCCCCACCCCTGACCTGGACCCTTTGAGTCAGAGCGGGAGAACCCCTGGAGCAGGTGGGGGGCCAGGTGACCCCTCGGTCCTGGCGCTCTGGGGCCCTCTTGCACCCACACCCACACCCCCCCCCCGCCTTCCTGTCCATCTGTCCCAGCAAGTAGGCATCTTTTCTTCTCGGGCTTGGGGGCCTTCACTCGTGAGTCCCCTCGTTCCCAGAGCGTGGAGGCCCCCAGGCCCGTGGGTGGGGGCGGCTTTATATACCTCTTCCTCAGTCACACAGAGGCAAGTTTTAGCGGGGGGTTAAGGCCCATAAGAAAGGATCTTAAACCTTGCAGTGTATGCAGTTAAAATTGTATTCCGCAGAGATAAATGTTTTCTTTTCCCATTGCCATGACACTGTGTGTGATGGTGGGGTTTCTGAGACGTTCAGGTTTTTGCACATAGTGATCTTATGCATTATCACAAGTTACTGCTGCCTTGAATGAAAATGTTCTGTGAAATTTTTTGCAAAAGCTTTACTAGGTTTTTTTTTTTTAAATTGAAATTTTGTAAAGGCAGGAAACGGATTAAAACAAGCATGCTAAATATATTTTTCAAAAAAGCAATAATTTTACATGTACAGAAATTATCCTAACCTTTAATACTGGTGAGAGCGACAGTTTACTTAATACAGTAATGGATTAGTGCAGTTTTTGTAGAAATGGGCTTCTGATACAAAGAGTTGTTTAAACACACACACATACAAACCCTAAAGTGTGGTTTTCCTGTTCTAATGATTTGTTGAATTATATTATTATTATTATTATTGTCATTGTTGTTGTTCTTAGTTAATGTTTGGTTCTGGATTCTACTTGTTACTGAATTTAAATTACTTGACGGTTCAGGTTACTTTGCAGCATTTGCAAATGATGCAGTGTAACTGGCTAGCTTATATCTATAAATATATATACATGTATGTACACACACATATATGCATATATGTGTATGTATATATATATAACTTTTTTACTTATTTTTTCCTGATATTCTTACACCAGATATGTTCCAGAATGACCTGTCGTGTTGTTTTCATTAGGGATGTCCCTGCAGATGTGATCGGCGGCTGTAATTGACTGTCCTGTCAAGTTACTTTGAACAAAGCCACAGAGACACATTCCTTTGTTCACGCCGGGAATCAGAATGCCTTTCTGTCGACTTACGTTTGATCACGTCCGTAGTCTCCCCACAGTGATCATTTCTGCATTTTCTGGCTTTTATTTTCTTGGCTGACAGTGAAGGGTGACAGTCCAGGGCCTGCTGTTTCTGTTTGAGTTATTAAAGGAGCTCTGTACCCAATGTGGCACAGAGGAGTTGCCTATGTGCACACCTTCGGAGCCACAGACGGCATCCGGGGAGCCCCTCTCTGGGCAGCCTGCTGGAAGGGGTGCGTCCTGGGGCCCTGTTGGCCGGACACACAGCCCGAGCCTGTTGGAGTACTGCTTCTGCCTGGAGCACAGAAATAAGTTTTTCACTTCATTCAGCAGACTGGGGGTGAGGGTCCCTCTGAGGATGCTGCCTCCGAGAAAAGCCGTCTGGGGCCTGACTATGGTTCCCTTCTTCCACTGATCATCAGTATTGTATGGGTTTGCTCATGCGTTGATGTCAGTTCGACCATAGTATTTAATATGATTTGTGTTTTACTTATTTATTTAGCCAATGTGGTTTGATTCGCTTTTTCTTGAATGAGGATTTCTGCGTGGTCTCTCCTGTAAGTCACCTTCCGACTGTTACAGACTTCCTACTACCTCTCCCGATCTGCTGTCTCCTTGTTTCTCGACAGGATCTTGCAGTGTTGGCGTCAGATGTAACCTGGACAATAAAGGGTTTGGTCTTGCACTGCGGCTTCTCCCTGTGTCTCCCCCGCCCCGCGCTCCCGGCCTGCTGGTCTCACTCCTGCTCCTTCTTGCTCACGCCTCTTCCTCCTCGTCCAGCCCAAGTAACACAAATGACGAGCTTATAGAGGTCTTTCAGGTTATTCACTCTTATTCCTTAACTTGAAGAATGAACATTTATATTTTCTGAAAACTCAGCCGTTCAGCACCTTCTCCAGGCATCCGTCCATTGTCCTGTCTCTTCTCTTCCTTGGCTCCTGGAAGGCCTGGGGCCATCTCAGACAGATGCATTTCCCCTGGGCTATGACACAGTACAGATCCTCAAGTCAAGGGGATGGTGCCTCATAGGCTTTGAGAAGTACTCGGTACTTTAAGAGCTGCCTCCCCATGGCTACTTACTTACCTTTAAACCAAGAAAGACACTCCTTTTCGTGAAGATGCTCTGGGAAACAGCCCTGAGAATGACAGAGGCCACTTTGGTGACGTGAGGGAGCCTGGATTGCACCCAGGATGTCGAAAGCGTCTTTAGATCTGATCTGCACGCTCCGTCCCAGGTTGTACACAGACGCGCCCAGGACGTGTGCGCTCCCTGAGGTGTCACCCAGCTTCATCCTCTGCGGGTCACAGGTGAGGCGGCCTCCGCCGCCTCCTTGGCACCTGGCACGGGTTTGGGCACCTTCTGTCCACCAGGAGTCAGAGTGTGGCCTGCAGGGTGGCAGGTCTAGTTAGAGCGTGGTCACAGCTGCACAGAAGCCTCCTGGCTTTTCACAGGAAGCTTCTCTTCACCCACATTCCGTCTTCAAAACAGACAAGCGCCCCCCTCCTCGCCCCGCCCTGGGCGGTCTGAACAATGCACAGAAAACAGTTGGGTCTCTCCAAGTTTGCTTTTCCACTTTCCAAATGTCTCCAGGTCTGAAGTAGCGTGTGCTGTGCCACTGCTTCTCACCTGCGTGAGTTCAAATCACAGGACACTTTATACGCAGAGCAGAAAGGAAGAGAAAGGAAAACGACAGGCCGGGACTTCAGGCGATGGTTCAGGTGCCCCTGTACGCGTGTCTTTGTGGGATGACCGAGGGAAAATGTTCATTCTTCAACTTTGCTAATTTTGCTTTGAGGCAGTAAAATGCAAAAGACCACAGAATTTGTATTTCTTTTTTTAAAATACAATTTATAACATTATATTTTGTACTCTTTATATTAGAATTTGTAACTAGATTGATGTATTTAACTCTATTTCTGAAAAAAATAATTCAATGTTTCAGTTGTGTGATAAAAATATTTAGATAAGACATATTCATTTTATTGGAAATTGAAATCAATAAAAACATCTTGGAGTTCTCGAGTTCTTGAAAAGACCTTTTTCCCCTGTTTCAGGAGGTGGCTTAAGTCGTCTGACAGCCCGTCTGGGTCTAGCGTTTGGAAATTTTTATTGGCTGAAGACAAACCCAGCTGTTAGTGCTCTTGATTTATATAAGTGGAAGAGTTTTGGGGATGATTCCACAAGATGGTTCATCTAAAAAGGTGCCAAGATGGCCAGGGGATTTTTTTCAAGTTTCTTGTGGACTCCAGGGCACGCACACTGTTTCTCTTTTCTAAAGGTGACTGTGTTCCTCATTACCCCCCAGCATCTCTCATTCCCCAACGCCAAATACAGCATTCTTCGACTTGCAGTACATTTGCTGCTCAGATGGCAGAAACAGGAGTTGGGGCCCTCGGATGCACTAACAGAATTACACGTGGAAAGATAAACCTGAGCTTTGAAGTGAAAAAGATGGATGTCTCAGCTGGCAGGGAAAGGCAGGGAGGGTGGGAACCTGAATGTGGCTTTCACGTCTGTCTGTCAGGGCAGAAAGTTGAGGTTGGACAGTGAAGGGGGCATCCGGGGGGGTCATGGACGGCCCCCTTATGCCCCTACGTTCTCAGGTGGAAATGAGTTTGAGGGGCTTTCAGAGAGTCTTTAGGTTTTGCAGACATCAGACCCGGACCTTGCATGGGATCTCAGTTTATCGGGACTCAGTTTATTGTGAGTCAGTTAATGAGAGCCCTGTCCCCCCAGGTGGCTGGGTCTGGTGAGAGGGTGCGATTCTCAATGCAGAGGCAGCGCATTCCCTCTCGGTGTGTGAAACAGGCAGGAACAAGCCCGGGTGTCTGTGTGTCACCAGGTGAGTCCCCTCCAGGGAACGTGAGTGTGTGATTTCCGTGGTTCAAACCAGATGCACTTTCCCCGTCCTGGGGTGGCCTACGCGTGGCTGCACTCTTCCCTCCAGGAAGACGGCTGTCCTTTCTGTCCATCCATGGTCACCAAAGAGCCACGTGCGTGTCCCGCCACACGCCCACGGACGTCCTCCTTGGCAGTGGGAGTGAGGTGGCAGGCAGCGTCTGAACGCTGACTGCGTCTGTGATTGGCCTTGTGCACTGCTCCAGGGAAACGTGGCTGAGCTGCACATAACACAAGACAAACCCTGCCCCCACCATGCCGTGACGGGACCTTTTCTCTGCCTCACTGGCTTGCTGTTTGAAAAGAGCGGTGCGTTCCTGGTCTGCTACTCGTGTTCTCAATTTTGTGTTTTCAAAACGCGAGGTGTTCTTCCTAGTGACTCAATAAAGAATCTGCCTGCAATGCAGGAGATGTGGGTTCGATCCCTGGGCCGGGAAGATCCCCCGGAGGAGGGCATCATAACCCACTCCAGTCCTCTTGCCTGGAAAATCCCATGGACAGAGAAGCCTAGAGAACTAGAGTCCATGGGGTTGCAAACAGTTGGACATGACATGATTGAGCGATAATACTTCCACTTTTCCTTCTTAAAGAGATCAGCAAAAACACTGAGAGGGAGTGTGAAACGCCCTGGTGTCTGTCTGCCAAGTCCTTGGACTGTCTGACTTCCTCTCTGCCGACCTGGTGCTCCAGACCTGGCAGCTGTAAGGGTGGGGAGTCCTGCAAGAATCCGGAATCTGGGAGCACGTGACTGTGACAGCCCTCTGGCTGATTTCTTTTATGAGAAGAGGAAAGATACAGTGAAACAACGATTGCACTGAGAATGTTCTTTCTCTCCCTCGCTTTTCTCTCTCTCTCTTCTCAACTAAAGAGGACATGATGGAGAGCCCCCCAGTCCAAGCCCCCTCTCCCAATGGGATGTCAGATCTGCCACGAGTAGGGCGTCACAGGGAACCAACCCCTAGCTCGGCTGCTGACAGCTCCAACCTCATCAGGGCCAGAGGACGCTCTCCTTTTCTCGTCCTGGGGCTCATCAACAGAAGGGCGTGGTCAGGTCACAAGCAGCACCATTCCCACCTGCCTTTGTGCCTCTGCAGGCTACTTATTTTCCGCTCAGTCGTGGCAATGACATTTAGAGAGTGGCAAAGACAAACGGTGCATTTCCAGGACGGAGTCACGGAGACCCAAAGGGGGGTTTCTTTAAGAGAAGAAAGGTATATGTCACATGAGACAGGCGAGTGGCTGTCAGGTGATTGGGGGTCTGCCCTGAGAAACAGCGAGTTTTGGATCCTGCATTGCAAACCTGGGACAGGTAGGTGGAAGGACCCTCAGTCCGGCCATTTAACAGTGGGCCAACCTGCCCCTTGAACCAACAGACTGACCCTGGAGTGGTCAAGCAGAAGCTTGGAATGAGGGGAGCAGGACCAGGGTCCCTGCACAGAGAAGGCAGGTGGAACCAGATCTCATCTGACTTCGGGCTCTTGTGAAACTGTAGAAGTTGTGCAGAAAGTTTTTGACATTATAAATTCATTCAACAAATTCCGAGAGCCAGCCAAAGTGCAGCCCTCACCACTGGCATAGAAAAAGGAGCAAAATGGCACCTGCTCTTGGCGATCTCACAGTCGAGGAGGAAGGCAGATGTCAACACGAATTCTGAGCCAGAAGGGTACAGGCTCTGGGGGTGGATGGAAGCAGGATGGGGTCCATGGGGAGAGAGGTTGAGGAGCTCGTGAAATCAACCAAATGCCACGTGTCCCCGGAACCGGGAGGCACTCGCCTGAAATTCTGGAAACAAACTTATAAAATGACTGGGGTAATGACTTGGAATTAATAACAAAATTTGCATTTGATATCAAACCTTAGTTGACTGGGATCATCTGTGAGAAGATCTTGACATGAGGGAGAGAAGTGACGTGAGGTTCAGCAAGGCAAAGCCTAAGGAGATGCATTCTGAGAAATGCCCCTCGGAACGTTCAGAACATATTTTGACTTGTCAGATCTGACAGAGGAAAGGGACGGGGATCATTGTCAATTATCCCTTGATGACATTAACTCAAAGTGAGGCTTCAGGCAGAGATCCATGACATGTACCGGGGGAAGACGCTGACAAAAGCCGGCATCAGCAGAACAGCCTGCGTCTGTGTAGACTCCGGGCATCTCTCCTTAGCTCCCGTGCATGTCCGTCGTCCTTCAAGTTCAAGGACCAGAGACAAGCCAGAGGTAGACAATCCAGGTGTCAAGGGGAAGCTTGAACATGAGACAGAAAAGGTGAGACCTTTTAGGTTGAGAAAGACAAAGGCCAGGAAGGACATGGGCCAGGCAGTTCTGCACAGGTGAATCGTCCCAGTTTAGGTCTAGGTGATGCTCCTTTTGGTCTCGAGGTAACTCCAGAACAATAGCAACAACAACCTGTGTAAAAGGACTGTCTGTGTGCCTGGAACTGAGGTAGAAGTTTTCATCTATTTTTTAGTTCATTCAAGCCTCACAGTGCTCTGCAAAGCAGGCATTATTAGCCCCACTTAACAAGTTAAAAAAAAAAAAGTGGAAGATCCAAGAAGGTGATGCACTCAGTCCAGGTGACACGGCCAGTGACTTGCAGCTCACCGCTCTGTTCTGCCTTGATGCCCTGCGCGCAGCCTGTAGGGATATGACCTTCCTATGACACGTTCTACCTTTCCAAAGCACTGAAATCCCCCCATCCGTGGGCCAGGGCAGCTGTCCGCCAGGTCAGGAGTATAGATACATGGCCTGTGTTCAAGAGACAGATGGAGGAACATCACCAATCAGAACAGGGTTTGGATTTCTGGGATCGTATTTCAGAGGGATCAAAGGTTCTCTTGGTTGACTTCCTGTAAGTTAAGAAGAGACACACATAGGGATAAGGACACTGATTTCTGAGTGTGAGTTCAAGTGTGTCCTGTACAGAACCATTAGCCAAGCTCGCCCAGAATCAGCCTTTCCTTCTCTCTTTCTTCCTTTCATACTTTAGACATCCGCTTCCTCGAAACCACCCCCAAGTATGGATGAAACACACCCTTGGTCCTCTGGTTCCTCTCCATCTATCATGTCTTGTCTTTTAATGTCAATCTTCCTAAAAAAATAGTCCATGGCCACTTTGCTTCTCCCCATTGCAGCTTTGAATACCACCACCACCTGTGCTGAATTGTCTCATGTTAATTTATCAGCAGGGCTTCTCCAAGGGCGCTAATGGTAAAGCAGCCACCTGCAGTGCAGCAGACCCAGGTTCAACCCCTGGCTCGGGAAGATCCCCTGGAGGAGGGCGTGGCAACCCTCTCCAGTGTTCCTGCCTGGAGAATCTCAAGGACAGAAGAACCTGGCAGGCTACAGTTCACAGGGTCAGAGTCAGACACGGTGAATCGAATTAGTATGCATGCACGCAAGTTATCCAGGACCTTATAGTTGAATACTGTAATTGTTTTTTCCTTCTATATGTATTCTAACTTTTTAAAATAGAAAACACACACACACACATACTCATTCATATTCATCATCTAGATCCAACAATGACAACATTTTGCCAGCTTGTGTTGATATCTTTTACTTTGTTGTCATGGTTGTTTTGACTTGGAATCATTTAAGTAATTCCCAGACGTCATGACATTTCAACTGTAAATACTTCAGTGTGCCTCTCCAAGGGATGTATTTTTAAAAACCACGATAGCAGGAATGTTGCTTTCCTTATATTCCTTGATCCTTCAGTGGAATTTCTTCCAAAACCTCGCTCTTCATTGGTTTTCCATCACCCAGAGTCTGGGTCTTGGTCCCTAGTCTTATTCTCAGGAGTGAGGTGGTGGATGTCTGGATGTACTCTGTGGGGGGCGGGTGTTGGGCCGGGTGGGTGGTGGACGGGGTGGATGTGGGGTGGGGGGCAGGGTGCAGGGGTGGGGACTTCCAGGGATGGAAGTCTGAGTGCCTGCCCCATATGGCAGGTGGGTCAGGATGCCCCGGAGGTACCCCTACAGCTGGGAGCAATTAGGCCGTGAATTCAGAGTGGGGTGTGGGGGTGTGGAGGGAGGGCCCGCTTCTGAACCTTCATAAAGTGAGAAGTCGCTCAGTCATGTCCGACTCTCGGCGACCCCATGGACTGTAGCCCGCCAGGCTCCTCCATCCATGGGATTCTCCAGGCAAGAGTACTGGAGTGGGTTTCCAATCCTTCTGAACCTCCATCGCTTCCTGCTAATTTTCCCAAGAACAGGACTGGCTCCAATCTCATGGCTGGCTGTGCAGCCTGAGGTCAAGTCATGCCCGGGATTTACTAAAACGCCAGTGGCTCATCGCAGCCAGCGATTCCTGATGCCTGCTCATGATGCTGTGTTTGGCCACCTTCAAGCCTGACTTGCCTAGTGCAGGGAGCTCACAGCTCGTAGCATGGCAGGCCCCCTCCCGTCTCCCGGATCCTTTCTGGGAGTCCTGTTAGGGTTCCTCGTAACCCAGGCGCAGGCTAACATATTAATGAATCATGTAGCGTTTGAACAGGGATCAGCGCCTTTGGGTTTGGAATGACTCCTATGGAAACAAAAAAACCATTCAAGGAAATCTGAAAAGTTCACAGCTGTCATGAATGCACATTAAGGTTTTAGTTAGGCATCTGCCTGGGAAACTTGAGGGTCGTAAAACCCCCAGAGACCATGTCGGCTAAAACTCTTGTTTAACCAGAAGGAGGTTGGGGGTGGGGGTCCAGGGGGGTCATGTGACCCCAGCCCCTCACACCCGCAGGTACTTGGAGTGTGCAGTTTTAGCGCATCTTTATAATCTTTCATAGAGAGTGTGCGTCGTGCGCGCATCTCTCTGATGCCTATTCTGTGCTGTATTCCCTCTTTCTCTTTCTTCTGAATTCACTTGAATGTTTCCCCATTGCCCGTGGTTTCCTTCAGGAAACACAGAACGCTGTGTTTCTATATTTTTCAGTCAAAGCGCCCCCATGGATCTGATCCCTGCAAAATTGGGGGCAAAGCAGACTGTCCCACTAGAGTACCAAGCATAACCTCGAATATTGGCACAGTCTTCTCTGCTGGACCCGGGAAACTTCACGTGCATTTAACTGGGGCTCATCGTTTAGTTTGCTCTCTTTTCAAAGTTTTCTCCCCTGCCCCCTCCACAGGTGCCAGCTTTGGCCCCAGGGCAGAATCCCCAGGGCTCCTCCCGCAGGCAGGGGCAGGGGTGGGAGTGGGGGGGACCTGCCCTGGTATCCACTGCTCCTTCCAGGTCAGCATCCTAGCCGGGCCTCCCAAGCTTGTCCTCCAGAAGTTGCCTGCTCCCACCACTAGATGGCAGATGGGGGCCACACTTGAATGTAAAGTAACCCCCATTTCAAACTCACGTTTTATTCATCATTTTTGTCCGCATGCAAGTACTGAGCACCTACTGCATGTCAGACAGTGGGCTTGCTGCCTGGCAAGGGGGATGCTGAGGTGAAGATGTGTGAAGGCGTGGAGGGCATCCAGTCCTTGGCCATGAGTGAGATGGGGTTCCTCCCTCTGTCCCCAGCGTAACTCATGCCTGCCGGGCTCCCATCGGGTCCAGGTGCCCTGGAGGCAAGGCTGCCTCGGGCCGAGTGCCCCTCTGTCAAGAGCTGTTATCTTCTCCTGGGGGCACACTCAGTGGTCAAAAGGACACATGCACAAATCTAAGAATTGGTGCTTTCTAACTGTGAGGTTGGAGAAGACTCCTGAGAGTCCCTTGAACTGCAAGGAGAGCCAACCAGTCCATCCTAAAGATCAGTCCTGAATGTTCATTAGGACTGATGCTGAAGCGTCAATACTTTGGCCACCCGATGTGAAGAGCCAATTCACTGGAAAAGACCCTGATGTGGGAAATACTGACCAGGAGATGGGGGGAGCTACAGAGGACGAGATGGTTGGATGGCATCACTGACGCAATGGACATGAGTCCGAGCAAGCTCCTGGAGATGGTGAAGGACAGGGAAGCCTGGTGTGCTGCGCTCCCTGGGGTCGCAAAGAGTCAGATATGACTGAGTGACTGAACAACAATAGCAACAAATCTCAGAAGCTGACGAGTGCAGCAAACAGAGGGAGGCCAAGTCGTGATGAGGGCATCGGGAGGCCGGCCGGGCTCCTGAGGACACAGTCCCTCTGCCAGAAAGATGAGCATCACATCCACGCTGAGGGCCAGAAGGACAAAGAGCTGGAGGGAAACCCTCCGTGCGCACAGCCCAGGAGGCCGCCTCCCTCCCCCAGCCGCGGGGAAGCAGGGCCACAGGGGCTCAGCCCTTGAAGGCGGCCGCAGCTGTGGGCAGACACGGGCTCACTCACGTTCATGGGAGGCCACCCTGCCGGCTGATGGCCGGATGGGTTATCAGGCTTGTGGGAAGCATTTTGGTCGTGGAAAGAAAGACAGACCTCAGGCCCTGGGAGCAGATGGGGGGGCAGGCTGGGGTCCCAGGGCCCAGGGTGGAGGAAGGACACGCAGGCTGCGGGGCGGGCCCGCGCTAGCTCCAGGGACTTCCTGCCTCCCGGGACCTGGCCGGGGCAGGGCCAGGCCTGAGGCGTCCACGGCCCGGGTCTCAGGGCACGTGGATGGTGCTCCTTGCGAAAACGCTGGGGCTGAGCCCTCGAATCCTTGGAGGTTCAGGAACCGGGCAGCACAGCTCGCTGCGTGGTCCGCGCTGGGGGCCGGCAGGCGAGATGGGAGGGGAAGGGTGAGCCGCCCCCGTGACGGAGCGCCTCCGCTCCTGTTGGCTCTGGACGGGCCACGCGCGAGCCTCCTCCGGGCCGGGGAGAGACCGCCGGCCCGCCGCACGGAGGAGGCCGCTGCAGGCGGCCTGTTAGCCGGGACGAGGGGCCCCGCGGGGGAGCCTCAGGGGGGCCAGGCCGGTGGGCAGTGAGGATGGCCGGGCTTCAGGGCCGCCTGCCCCTGGGGCAGAGGGCGCCGAGGGGTGACGATGGGGACCCCGGGCCCTCTGCTGGGGGGACTAGAGCCGTCTTCCTTTCTACAGACGGAGCACTCACTGTATTCGTCTGCTCAGAACCCACACAGCGGGCAGCTGGGACAGCGGGCTTCGCTGTCTACAGTCGAGGCTGGGCGTCCAGGACCTGGAGTTTCTCAGGAGGCCTCTCTCCTTGGCTTGGGGACGGCCGTCTCCTCGCTGTGTCCCCACGCGGCGGGGCGGGGCTTTCTTGGTGCCTCCTTCTGTTTAGAAGAGCGCCAGGCCTGTTGAGTCAGGGCCCCCCCAGGAGCTCATGGTGCGTGTCCTCAGTCACATCCCTGAAGCCCCATCTCCAGTCACACTGGGGGGTTGGTGTCTACCAGCGGACGCAGGGGGAGCGATCCAGCCCATAGCAATGACATCTCCCCAGGGGAGGGAGGGAGGGAAGGAGGGATGCGGGAGGAGAAGGGCGTGGCTATTCAGATACACAGCCTGGGGAGGAGGCAAGGAGAGACGGAGACTGCCCCCTCGCCATCCCCAGGTTCTGCCCGGCAGGACCCGCTGTCCTAAAAGCCAGACCACGTTTCTCTTCAGGGCACTTGTCACTATGTGTCGTGTGTGTGTATACATATGCTTGTTGTTGTTTATTTGCCTCCCAGGGATGTGCAGATTTATTAGAGTGGGTTTGTTCTTTCTCTTGCTGAATTATCTTCTGAATGATCATCTTTTCTGGAGTCAGGGATTCTGTCCAGGGCAGAGTGAGGTTCTGATGATGTCATTGTCACCACGATTATCACCATGACGACCATCATCATTACCATGATCATCACACTATCAGCATCACCATCTCTTGTCCATTACCATCATTGTCATCACCACATCCCCTTTACCATCATTATCACCATCACAGTCATATCATCATCACCACCAGCATCCTCACCATTACTGTCATCCGCATGTGTAAAAGACAATGTCCTGAAGTAAAATAAAATAGCTGGAAACATGGACCTAAGATTTAGGGAGGAAGCAAGATTGAAAATAAAAATGTGTATGATTAGGCATTCATGGTAAAGGCAGGAAAATATGCGCACTCTTAAAAGAAAAAGTAAAAATGCAAAGGAGGTCAAAGTAGTATTAGGTGATGACGCTTCTGGAGAAATGAAGGAGAAGGAAGTGCAGCCAGGTGGGGTTCAGACACAGAGATGCCAGGGGCAGGAGCGTCCATGCCTGAGTGAGAAGCCCGACACTGACCATGATGAGGCCCCTGTGCCTTGGAAGAGGCCCACCTTTGTGGGTTGGGAGGCAGGATTTCTGGGGAGGATGGGGTTGCCTGTTACAGTACTAGACAGGGCAGAATGCCTGCCACTCAGATGCCTTTGCCTCTCAGCAGAGGGGCAAGTTGGGCCCTTGACTAGACACCTGCAGGGTTTGTAATGAACCAAATTAAGGAGACTCCTCTGACATGTTTGCTCAGAAAACTAGAATTTAAACTTGTACTATTAATAGAAAACATTTAGAAGCCACTTAAATCCATTGCATAATTATTAAATAGTCTCTTGGAAGAAAGTTGTCTTTGGAGATTCTAAGATGATTTCTTTTATCCTATCACTTCAGGAAACCATGAGGATGCATCCGTTATAATGTAAAACTTCAGGGAGAAGAAGAGTGAACTTAATTGTGGGAACTATCATGATGAGCTTGTAATGTCACTGGAGTACTTTCTCATTAATATAATTTGCAAGGCAATAGGTAAATGACTATGATGTAAAATGTCTGAGATCAATAAGGCTGATTATTTTCAGATAAATTCCAGATTATGTAACCATGAGCTTATATATTATAAAACGCTTCTCAAGGGCAGGCCATGTTTATATGTCTAAGACCTTACACTGCGACTGGCGCTTTGATGGAGGACGGGAGGGAAAAGAGAGGCGCTAAACAGAATTCATGGCCGTGTTCCCAAGACGTCTGAATTTCCTCTGCAATGTCCTGCACTGGATCAATTCTGTCTAAAGACGTGGGAAGAAGTTCCCGATGAGGACACTTTGGTGACCTTATAGGGATTGTGGAAATTGAGGATGTGCTAAGAAATGGACAAATGTCACTCTAGTTTTTAAAAATAATAAGATGATAGGTTCACACCATCCATACCGGTTTGCCTGAGCAGTCTTCTGGAGACAGTGCTAAGGAGACGGTCTGAGAGTACCTGGATGTCAAAGCGGTTCTCAGGAAACTGTGCCCCTGGCCCGTCCACACTGTCCCCTCCTGGCCTGGGGCTGACATGTCATTGTATTCTGGGAATGTCTATGGAATAAACACAAATTATTAAAGAATTATGCTGAGTCTCACTGCATCTCCTCTTTTGAAAGCTTTAAAAATAGTAAATGAAAAAATTAGGAGAGAAAGGATATATCTGGACGGCCTCAGGGGTCTGACCAGCTGTTCTTGGAGAAAAGTGAAAAAGATGGTGGGGGCGGCCGTACAAATGAAAAGACCCCTTCATGAGTGATTTACTTGTTCACTCACAGGGTACTTAACGAACACCAGTGCAGATCCGTTTATGATGACGAATGGATATTTTTAAAGCAAGGGGCCTGATTTGCGTTTGGAGGAAGGGAGTCTGGGAACTGTTAGCCAGCCGTGAAGGATGCGCCGGGGGACCTGGGAGGTGGAAGAGAGGTTGCAAAGGAGAAAACCTGGCTCAGCGGGGAAACCAAAGGCTGCGTGGGGTCAGGATGTGCAGTGGCCAGAGCGGCGGCATCTGTGGTTACGTCAGGGTCAGGGCTTCTTGTGCTAATTTTAAGTGAAGACATGCAACACGGATGGTTTTTGAAAGCAGATGATGACGCGATCTGAATTGTATTTCTGAAACCTCAGCGTGGCTGTTGGGCAAGGCGTACACGGAAAGCTAAGGCTCATCATCCCGGGGGAGGGTGTGGGGGAAGAGAAGGATGGCGCGCCTGGTGGGTGCTGGTGAGCAAGCTGGGGAGGCAGGATTGGACATTTTTGCGGGATGAGACTGGCGGAGGGAGAGAGAGGCTGTGCCCAGATTTCCTGGTGAGCTGTGTGCTCAGTTGTGTCTGACTCTTTGCAACCGCATGGACCATGGTTTGCCGGGCTCCTGTGTCCACAGGGTTTCCGGGGCAACGGAGAAGCCCGAGGGGCCCTTTTCTGAGTTGGGGGGTCAGTGAAGGGGACCTGAGACCTGGAGGGAGCTGGAGGGTCGGGCTTGAGCTGGCCCGCAGTGGAGCTGGGCGCACACCATCACTTGCGTGGGGGCTACCTGGCCTCTGACGTCTTCCGCATCCACCCGAGAGACTGATGAAGGTGGAGAAGACACGGCAGTCAGTGGCAGGTGACAGATGCTGATGCGGGTGAGAAGGACCCCTTGGCAAACAGTGTGGGGACAAAACACCTTGCTCCCCACCCTTCACTGGCTCCTCTCGAGGGAAACTCCCAGAGTCTTCTCAGATGGCAAACTCTGCTCCGCATCCCACAAACATGGCCTACTGCTCTAAGGTGGAGAAGGAGAGAAAGAAAAGCAGGACAGGAAGCTCAGACCGCTCTTCCCCCTCACAGCGGCGCTCCACCCCCAGGGAAGGACCCGCTGTATCGGCTTGATGAGGCAGGTTCCTGTCCACATCTTCCTGCAGCGAGCTGGGGTGGTGGGGCTTCCAGAGGAGGCGCATTAATGCAGGCAGACTGTTCGGATAATGAAGCCCCGGGAACTCCCTGTCTTCCAGTGTCCGGGTCTGTGAGTTCCTCTGAACACACCCAGGCTGAGCCAGCAGCGGCCCGCACTTGCCCGCTTCACGCTCACACTGAGGGACGGATGTCAGTGCAGTGTTTTCAGCTCTGTCTCATGGTTGGCGCCCTGGAGCAGGTGGCGGGTGCTCTGAGCCCCTTGTGATGAGCTACAGCTGGATCCGGCTGGTCCCTGCTTGGATCCTGGGTCCTCTCCGGGTCCATCTCCTTCAAGCTTCGGCTCTTTCTTCTTTACCACCTACATCTGCTTTAAACCTCAAATGCACTGTTTTCCCCGAGGTTTATTTTAGAACTCTGGACTCTGCTTGTTTCCTAGGGGATGTATGAGCAAATGAGATTAGGTATCGAGGGTGATGCACTGTCTGCCTGNATGCACTGTCTTCCCCGAGGTTTATTTTAGAACTCTGGACTCTGCTTGTTTCCTAGGGGATGTATGAGCAAATGAGATTAGGTATCGAGGGTGATGCACTGTCTGCCTGCCTCTCCCAGGAAGGGCCACAGTGTTATGGGGTTGTATCGTTCACCTTCTGCGTCCCTTTTCTTGTGTAAATGTTTTCCCAAGCATCCTTCACCTATAGCCAGAAACAGCAGAGTGTGGAAAGCAAGGTGGACTGAAAGCTTGGATGATGTCTGCGCTTCTAGAGAGAGCGTGCATCTTTGTAAGGCGCTCACTTGACCTGAGTCTCAAATAACTGAAAAGTGAGGGTGGAGCTAAAGTAATAGCTATGGCTCCTCTGTGCTTTGCTTTAAAATGACGTGTACCCTTCCACGTCGTTGGAAGTTGCTTGGTCCTTTTTCCCACGTGAAAAAAATCTGGTGCCACGTTTGCAGCTGGAAACCTCACCAGCCTCAGGCTCAGTGTGAAACTGGGCAGGTTCTTCCAGCGACGTTGTGTGTGTCCTCGGCTGACTCTCAGGAGAACACACTCAGATGGTTTGGAGCGGCACGAGGAAGCCGCGGGCCGTGGAGTTCAGAGTGAGAGCTCAGCTCTGGCAGGTCTGTAAGAGATGATGCTGGCTCCTGGTGAGGCTGACCCAGGAAGCAAAACGATGTCATCGTCATGTTCACTCTCACTGTGCTTCTTCTGGAAAATGACACTTTAGCAGGTTTGTCTCGACAGCAACACCAAAACCATGCACGTGATGTGGGGGACAAAAAGAGAAGTGGGCGTTTCCATTAATCTGGTCTGGAGAAAGCCACACAAGATCCAGCCTGCTTGCGCTGGATTTGACCTCTCTGAAGAAATGAGGTTAGTGGAAGGAATGACTTTTACATGGGAGACGTCATGGGAATGGCGTGGGTGCTGACGAGGAGCGGCAGATGCGTGAGGCCACGGCAGTCTCTGTGCGGGGATGCGGTCCTGGGCCCGTGTGGCTTCTGAGCCTTGCCTCTGCCTCGTCTCCTGTCCCCAGGCTTCCCAGGAGAGGGCTGACTTTCCCATCTGGAGGGCCCACCGCCTCCACGCACCTGCCCGCTTCGTGGTGTGATGTGTCCCTTGCTGTCCCTGGGCGGAAAACGCTGTTGGCATCACATATCCAAACGTCTCCCTTGTCCTGCCAGCCACGGTCTCAGCGTAGAGCTGTGTGTGTGTCCTTTTCCACACCTCACATCCATGTTTGTTTTAAAGACACGTTGCTTCAGCCGTGGTCTCAGTGTAGATCTGTGAGTGTGTGTCCGTTTCCACACCTCATATCCATGTTTGTTTTAAAGACATGTTGCCTGTCTAATGAATGACTGTTGTCTGGGCGGTCTTGCCTGATTTTGGATTTAGTAGCACTAGTCTTTTAAATGAATGGGTAGGAAAAATATATCAGTGGCTCGAGTATTATGTATGCTTCGACTCTACCTAACGATGAAATAGTAAAGCTTGGAATGCGTCTCTGAAAGCCGAGCATCTTCTGCTGTTTCCAGGGTTGGCTTTGCAGGGTTTCTTCTGTTATGTCCAGTAAGAGAGAAGGAGACTGTGACCAGCACTTGGTCTCACAGTTGGGTAACAAATGGGTGGGGCTGACCATAGACTGAAGGATGGAAGCCCGTCTGTCTGTGGCAACAACAGCTGCTTCTTCTGCTGTGTCTTTTGGGATTTTTTTCCTTTTCTTTATTTCTAAAGCATTCACTATTGTTGGATTTCTTCCTGATTTCCACTTTACTTCTTTTTTAAATTCCCAGTAGTTCCCTTTTAATATTAGACTAAGCATGTTAATTTAAAAAAAAAATTAGAGAAGACTGGTTCTCAAAAAGAAAAAGTAACTGTCTGAAATCCCAAGTGAAGAGACAACCACCAGAGTGAGCATTTTAGTAATATTACTCCGAAGAGTTTCTTACGTGGTACGATGGCTGATAGGATAGGATGTGTGTGCTGTGCTTAGTCACTCAGCTGTGTCCGACTCTTTGTGACTCCACAGACTGTAGCCCACCAGGCTCCTCTGTCCATGGGGATTCTCCAGGCAAGAGTACTGGAGTGGGTGGTCATTCCCTCCTCCAGGGGATCTTCTCAACTCAGGGATTGAACCAGGATCTCCTGCATTGCAGGCGGATTCTTTACCAGCTGAGCTACCAGGAAAGCCCAATACAACAGGATAGATAGTCTGTATTCTCCAAAATGAGATATCTTGCATATGTTCTATAGCCTGTCTACTTATTTCTATGTGAGCCTCTTCCATGCTAATGCATTTTCATCTCCAGTGTCCTTCCAAGGGGTAGCAGTCTCTTTTGCAGATGTATTGCTTCCTTAACCAGTTTTATTTTGATGGGCCTATGGGTTATTTTCTATTTTTTAAAAAATAATGTAAGCAGAGTTCTGATGAGCATTCTTGGCCCAGCCATCTCTGGGTGCTGTTCCAGTGTCTCTCGGGTACACACCCTAATCTGGTAACACCTTGTCCACGACCCTCCAGACGTGGGAACTCTATCAGTTCCCCTCTGCTCTGCCTGCTTTGCCCCCCAACCCCCACTCTAAACATTTTCATTCATTTCTTTTTAAAGTAGGCCCTTTCTTTTAAATTGTATTTCGATTGACTACCTGTGCCTGCGGGCTAAGTCTTTTCAGTCCTGTCTGACTCTCTGCAACCCCATGGACCATAGCCTGTCAGGCTTCTCTGTCCAAGGGACTCTGCAGACTAGAATACTGGAGTGGGTTGCCATGAACTCCTCCAGGAGATCTTCTGGACCCAGGGGTTGAAGTTGTGTCTCTTGTCTCTCGCATTAGCAGGTGGGTGCTTTACCATTAGCGCCACCTGGGAAGCCCATTGCCTACCTGGTTCCTGTCTATTTGCCATTCCAGCTTCAGGCCAACCCTCTTGTCTCTGGTTAAAATCAACAATATGGCAGTTCAAATGTTAAACCAGGCTCTGCCATCTGGTGTAAACCTGAGAAGTATCTCCTTTCCCTTCTCTGTGCTGCCCCAGGGCCTTGCCATGTCTCCTGAGCCCCGGCATAGAGTTCCCGGAGGTCTGAGCTGAGTGGTGAGTTGTGGTTAGGCCTGTGGGGCAACCCCGGGCCCCAGATTAGAAAGGAGAGCATTGTTCTGGCTGCCCGTG